AGGGAAAGAAGCAGCCTTTTTCCTCCTCGGGCCACCCTTCACCCTGCGTCCCCAAGACCTTGGTCTTCTCCCGCATGGCAGCATAGGGGAATAGACATCCTGTACTGTCCTCCACTCCATCCCATGGCACGTGGTCCTGGGAAGAGAGCAGGGGCACCACCAGTTCCCCATGCCCATATTTAATGAGGAGCTTCCCCATGCCCTGTTCAGGGTATGTCTGTCCCATGGGGAGCCTGCAGGCTTCTTGAAGACCCGATGCCCTGTGTGCATCCTTCTCCCCAGCTCTCCTTCCCACAGCCACCCCCACCCTGGGGGTGGAAAATGCCAACATCCCCTTCCCAGGCTGGTGAGTGCCTGTGATGTGCTCCTCAGCCTTTTGGGAACATCTTCCAGCATGGCTCCTGCAGCTGCATGCATACACTCGGTGGCTGTAGGAGGGGGACGGGAACCAGGGGTGTCGAAGATATGGAGCTATGGAAGGAGTAAAGCGTGCAGATGGGGATGGAGGGGCGAGACGTGTGGGAGGATGCTGGTAGCTCGGCTCCTCGTGGAGTGGTGCTGGCCTCCAAATGCATTCATATCACACATATTGGTGCAGAGGGGAATGCTGCACAGCCTGGTGCCTACCCACTGCCCATAGGCACGTTTCAACTCCCCCATCCCTGCTCCACAGAGGCTCCGGGAAACGGGAGCTGTTATGAGGACATGAGTCGAGCAGCCCTGCGTGGATCTGGCAGAGGTTTTGCTCCGCACTGTGGCAGCGGAGGAGAGCCGGTCCTCGGTGGAGTGCCCATCTTGCTCGGTGGGATGACCATAAGAGCTGAGCTGTCTGTGACAGTAACGCTGCTGGGGAGGCAGCACGGGACAGGGCAGACCACCACCACCTCTGCCCCTGCCTGCCCTGCCTGCCCTGCCTGCGGCGAGGGAGCAAGTTGGGAACAACACACTTTGTGAAAAGGGAAAAGAAGGGGAGGGGAAAGGGGGATTTGGACGGGTTTATTGCAAACAGAGAGTGACACATGGAGCAGAGTTAATCAAGGTGACTCCCCTCCAGTGCTGTATAAATAGGAACAGTCTTCGAGTGATGTCTGATATTTTCAGCTGCGTACAAATAAATGGCACTCGCTGGAGAGCCGGGTGTTTGCTTTGTTTTAGCAGAGCAGGTCTGCCTTCAACTGCTCCTAGTTTTATCTGTGGGTTTGTTGTTTTAAGATTTCTGGCTTCTAGCTCGAATATCTTTAATGCAAAGTAGTTTGCCTCTGCCCAGAGTCTGCGCCGGGGGACCTGGCTGGGGTCCTGCTGCCCCCTTTGCTGGGGGTGGATCAGAGATGGGGCAGGTGATCCTGCCCTGCCGGACTCTGCCTCCAGCCTGCTCGTGCTGCAGGCAGGGCTGGCCACAGCGGGGCACCCTGCCTGCTGCCTGCTGCCTGCACCCTGCCTGCTGCCTGCACCCCTCTCCACTGCCTGCACCCTGCTCCACTGCCTGCCCCCTGCCTGCTGCCTCCATTCTGCCTGCTGCCTGCACCTTGCCTGCTGCCTGCACCCTACCTGCTGCCTGCACTGTGCCCACTGCCTGCACCGTGCCTGCTGCCTGCACCCCGCTCTGCTGCCTGCACCCTGCTCCCCTGGGAACCTCCAGGCTCTTCCCCAGGCAGGGCGCTCCCCGAGGGGGCTTTCAGCCCCCCAGTGCCCCACAGTCCTCCCACCCCACACAGCCTCCGATGCCCCTCTCCCCCCATTTCCCCACCTCCTTCCCTGCCTCTGGCAGCAGGTGCCGGGCTGCGTGAACAGGGGGACATTGTTCGGGGCGCTGTGCTCAGGTGCTGGGCTTCCCCCCTCTCCCCATCCTCCTCCCAGCTGGCGTCCTGTCCCCGGGTGCGTCCGGGCTTTTCGCTGACGTTGCCATCCTCTGCATCGCTCTTCCCAGCTTTCTCCTGCCTTTCCGACCCTTTGGAGCCTTTGAGGTCCGGCTTTGATCTCTCTGCCCGAGCAGCCAACTGGCTCAGCAGTGAAACGTCCTGGGTCCACTTCTCGTAATTTTTATTATTATTATTTTAAAATATTTTCCACTTAGTGGGGGGAAAAAAAAAAATCCTTGTTCCCCGTTAGCAGAATTAACAAAACTCGTGGAGTGCAAAACAGGGCTTTAAAGGAATTCAAAGTCAGCAGTAAAAGATTTGCAGCCATAACACCTAATTAAGTTACATCTCTCTTAAAACAAAATATTCCTTCTTTTTTTCAAGGCGAGGAGAAGTAAACCAGATGTGCAAACTCGCTGCCTCGCACACATGCTCTCCCCACAGAGATGGGGGATGCACACGCTGGGCTTGCCGGTCACCATCTGCCTCCTCCCATGGCCATGCCGGTGCTTGCCCGGCTCCGTCCATCCCTCCCGTGTGCCAGGTCCCCACCGCCAGCAGCCGAGACGTTGCCGGTACACGGGGTGCTGCTGCCTGCGCCATGGGCCGGGGCCAGACCGGCATCAGCTGGCAGCAATGCGGTGGGCACACGCCTGAGGCGGTCGTTGCCCTCTGTGTCCATGGAGGGTCCCGTGGGGCAAAGGGGCTGAGAGCTGCCATGGGAGACAAACGGGACCGAGCTGTGGCACAGGGCAGGAGCTCCATTCTTGAGTCCCCTTCACGTAGCAGAAAAGGACAGAGCAGTGTGTTGGGGGTGAGGCTGCAGTGTATCCCAGGGATGCAGCAGTGTCTGGGATGGGGCTGCAGTGTATCCCAGGGATGCAGCGGTGTCTGGGATGGGGCTGCAGTGTATCCCAGGGATGCAGCAGTGTCTGGGTGGGGATGCGGTGTATTCCAGGGATGCAGCCGTGCCTGGGATGGGGCTGTAGCACATTCCAGGGATGCAGTGAATGGGGGTATCTTCAGCACCACGGCTGAGTGCTTCAGTGCACTCAACAGCCACCCCCTATGGGGTGGGAATCTGCGTCCCCTCTGCAGCCACCACTGCTGTCCCAGGGGATGCAGCGGGCAGGGGGCAGCTCTGCCAGCCCAGGCAGAGGGGCAGCGTGCCGGCATGGGGGGAGCTGAACCGAGAATCGGGGCTCACACTCCTCTGCCAAGAATTAGCTTCGTGCTGCGCTGCTTCTATCAATGACAAATTTGGAACAGGTGGCACAAAGTCCCCGATAAAAAGGAGCTGGGCAGAAAGGAGAGCAGCAGAGCCCAGGGTGAGTCCATGCTCCTGGGCTTCTTTCTTTCCTCTTTCTTCCTCCTCCCCTTGGCACAGGGCACTGTTATTCCCCCGTCTTCCCCCAGACCCTCGCCTCCATCCCCAGTGATCGCTGTGGCAACCTGCAAACAAAGACAACTTCAGGGACTGCTGGCTCTATCCCGGGACGCGGGGCCAAGCTGGAGGGAGAACCTGCGAGAGGGAGAGAAAAGAAGAAAGATGGGCTTAGACAAAAACACACCATTTGGGAAGAGACAAATTGAGATGTTCAAAGGAAGATGGCAGGGGGAAAGAAAGGAGGAGAACCGGGCTGCTTCGGGCAATTGTTGGGATCAAAGCCTTTGAGGAGAAGGGAAGAGGCATTCCCTGCCCTCCCTCTGCTTGAGATGCAAATCTGGGGTCTTTAGAAATGCACAGAAAAAAAAAAGCCTCCTTGAGGACATGAATCTCTCCCGAGAGCTGGGGGACAGCAGGGAGGGATGCTGCGTGGGGTGGAGGGCAGGCTGGTGTCCCCCCCAGCCATGCTGGAGCAGCCTGAGCAGAGGATGCTCGGGCAGCAGGAGTGACCTGGCAGAGCAGGACCACTTCCCTCACCCACCTGCTTCCCCCAGCCTGAGTCCTCTTCCCTGCTTTTGGAACACCTGCGAGGCACAGGTCTCTGGAGGGGCTGCCCCATGAGGGTGCTTCCCACCACCTTGGCCCCTAAGGGCTGAGTCGCCCCTGGGGATTACGACCCCCTTTGCCTGGGGTCAGACTGTCTTTTGGGTCCCCCCCCTGCAGGGCCGATGGTGGAGTTGGTGCTGAGTCCTCTCTTCCCCGTGCTGCCCAGGTTTGCAGGGCCACAGCTGTCCTGGTTGACTTTGGTCATGGTCCCTGCCTGTTCTCCATGGTGGCCACCATCACCTCCCCTGCATTTCTCCCATCCATCTCCTTCTGCGTCCTGGAGGAGAGTCCCCAGGCTCCCTCCACCGCCCCTGTGCTGATTTATCCTGCAGGACACCATCACCATCAGCACAGGAGATGACACAGTCTGCTCTATGAACTCAAAGCCACTTGATTTCTCTTCCCACCTGATGTGGTGTCAGTATTCATGCTGGGATTTGTGCTCCCAGCCCCTGTGAGCTGCCATTGGGGCAGCAGGACTTGCTGGACCCCTATCCCCAGCAGCAGCCCAGGCCCTGGCTCAGGAACCTTCTGGAGGGTGCTGGGACGTGGAGTACCCACCACCATCTGGCAGGCTGGGTCCTGCTGCTGTCCCCTGCACCCTGTTCCTTCTTCCCTTGTGGTGGGACGGGCCCCCACATGCTTCAAGCCCCTCAGTGCTCAACTCTCTGTTCTTCCTCTGCAGACTGTGACTCCTACTGCAAGCCAGCTAAGGGCAACTACAAGATTAACATGAAAAAGTACTGCAAGAAAGACTATGGTAAGGACCTCCTCCTTCCCTGGGCAACACTGGGCTTTGCCGCAGATGCAGCTGAGGGCCAGCCGAAGGATGGCTGTGGGTGGGGGAGATGCAGATATCCCAGGGGATGGGGAGCACCCAGCATGGAGAGGGGTTCCCCAAATCAGCCCTCCCAAAGATGTGATGGATGAGACAGGTGGGGCTGCTAGGGACAGGCAGTTCCCATCGCCAAAGCTTCCTTTGGGGAGCAAGGCAAAGCATCCCCCGTGACCATGCCTCCCCCTCTTTTCCCTCAGTGGTCCAGGTGAACATCCTGGAAATGGAGACAGTGGCCAACTGGGCCAAGTTCACCATCAACATCCTCTCTGTCTACAAGTGTCGCGACGAGCGGGTCAAGCGGGGCGACAACTTCTTGTGGATTCACCTGAAAGACCTGTCCTGCAAGTGCCCCAAGATCCAGATCAGCAAGAAGTACTTGGTCATGGGGATCAGCGAAAACTCCACTGACCGGCCAGGACTAATGGCCGACAAGAACAGCCTGGTCATCCAGTGGCGGGATGCCTGGACACGCCGTCTTCGGAAACTGCAGCGGCGGGAGAAGAAGGGGAAGTGCGTGAAGCCCTGAGGGGTTTGCACCCATCCCGTCCCACCCTGTGCTCAGCCCCAGCCCGGCTGTGCACTGCCAGACTGCGCCCAGAAACTCTGTACATATATATAGTGTGATCGGACTCTTCTGTCTATAGTGTATATTTTGGCAATGGTTTCCCTTTGTGTGTGCGAGTGCACGCGTGGGTGTGCGTGTGGGTCTTTTTCTCTAAGTGTGTATTAAAAATAACACAGTAATGACAAACCTTTAATGAGGAGCAAAGCGGAGTGGGATCCTGTGGGTGCCTGTCGCCTGAAGGAGCTTGAAGGGGATTGGTGTCCTGCTCTGGGCATGCTGTTCGTAGCACTCGTTTTCTAGGCTTTTCATTTCGCTTTAACAAAGTCTTCTTCTGCCCGGTGTTGACATCTGAGTTGACAGCTCCCCTTCTCCAGCGTCCAGGCCTGCCTCTTCCTCACTCTCTGAGAACATGCTGCTGTCAGACTTCTCTCTGCCCTTCTCCTTACCCAGTAGGAACAGGAGGTCAGTCTTCTGTCCTTCACCCCAATGTTCATACGGGCAGGCTGAGTGGAAACCATCTGATGCTGCAGAGGGACCAGCCCCAGGAGCTCCACCAGGACAAACAAACGAACTTTTGCAAGGCCTGATTCTCTGGTGATGTCGGGTTTACACAGACCAACGCTGTCACCTGGGGCAGGACCCATGCGATGCTGCAGTGTCATGGGGAGCAGTCAGGTCCTGGCAGTGGGTTGGTGGCCGCTACCAGGCAGAGCTGTGTCCACCGGGAGAAAGGGACAGACTTTGCAACCCCCTGGCTGTTACCTATCCTGGTGCATAGTCCAGGCAACCCGTCAGGAAAGACCTGGAGACACCCATTTTCCCCTCCATGTCCACCAAGGCTATAGCCTGCACTGCCAGCAGGACCTGGGGTGGAGCGGAGAGGCTGACCAGAGCCATAGTGTATCACCATCATCCACCCACTCAGGTCTATGTCCCTATGTTCTCAGCTGGTACCAACTGACATAATTCCACCTATTTCTGTTGAGCTGACACCAAGTGACCATCTGCCTTGGTGTGCATCCTTCAGAGCTGGCCTGACTGCATGCTCTCCTGGGAAGTATTGCTGTGGCCAAGGTTGTCCGAGGAGATGCACAAGGCAGAGGTGGCAGGAAGAGAGAAGAGCTTTCATTGACCCACCTCTAGTCTTTTATATCTTCTTCACCCTGTATTAGTCTCCAGTTCAAACAGACATCAGTATCTTACCATGTTGAGATTGTAGCGGTCTTGGCATAATAAATATGAGTAGAAATAATAGGTGCTCTGACAATAGCTATTCCTTTCCCCACAAACCTTGCCTTGCACATTAAATGGCTCAGGGAGGTATTGTAGCCTACTAGTCTTCCAGTGCTTTAGGATGGTGCTTTGCCCTTTGGAGCTCACAGCAGCTTGTGTGGACTCCCCACCCCACGGGTGCTCTGGTGCTTCTGTGTTCCAGCATCCCAGGGTGATGCTGGAGCCTGCAGCAGAAGAGACTGGTGGAGCACTTTAGGGCTTCAGGACAGGGGAGTGAATAGCTAGGCACTGGAGGATGTCTGTGTGAACATGCAAGTGCCCTAGTCGAGGAGCTCCATGCATTGGTGAAGCTGCTGGAGATGCTGGAAGTGGCTTTTCAGAGATGATGAGGGCCTGCAGTGCCATCTTTCAGATCCCATGGATGCTGGGGTGCCTACATGGGGTATAGGCAGAGTTAGGGGGAGGCCAGAAGCTGATGGGAAAAGGGTATGTGGGACCACTTGGGCTTGGATGAGCTGGTCCTATGCCTCATTCCTGACATGGACCCCTGCCTTCCCTCCTCCAGCAGAGCTGAGGGGACCCTCCTATCCCTGGTTCTTCTTGATCTGGTTGTCACAGACTATTGGCTTCTGCTGTGAGATGGCCTTTGAAGTCCATGGGTCACCCAGCCCTCGTCTTCCTCCCAGGGCTGCCCGCACCCAGGAGCCTGGGAAGCAGAGCTGCTGCCCTTGCCCCAGGCTCACTGACCCCATGCACCTGACAGTCCTCACGCAAGAGTCAGTGGTGGAACACTTTGGTTGTGCATGGCCGGGGCTCCCCACAGCCCCAGGGGCTGCTCGGCATCACCCCATGGGGTGCAGGGGCTCTCTGGCCTCTCTTCTCAGCAGCTGCAGCCCACAAAAGAGCAGGGGGTCACCACTGCCCCATGGGCATGGATGCTCATCAGGGCAGGGCTACAGAAGGCACGTGCTTTCTCCAAGCAAGTACAGCCTTCAGGAGAGTCATGATTGTCTGTGCTCCCCAAAAAGTGCTCTGCAGAGCCTGCTGGGGCAGGAGGCTCCAGGGTTTCCCTTGGCATCTGATTTCTCCTCCCTTGAAGCAGGGCATCTCAAACTCTTTGAGGACTTTGGTGCTGGTGGCTGAAGTTCTCGGTTTATCCTCCCAGTCGGCTCTACCCTCTTGTTTCAGCTCTGCTACTGAGACTTCTGATGAGGAGGGATGGCTCCCAGCTGGTGTCCCAGTGCACACGGGTGTCCTGCTGGGGCAGATAAGACACACTGGGGCAGGACCACCACATACTCCATGGGCTGCCACTGAGGAGAGGAGCTCTCCCACTTTTGGCTGGGGGATGTCCAAAAATCCTGGCCAAAAGACTGGAGCAGGCCACTCTGCACCTTCACTTCGGTTGGTGCCTGGAAGGCGTTTTCCTGACTTCCCCTCCTTGTGTCACCCCAAAGTCTGAAGCAAGCACTCCTCTTTCTTCTTCCTCTCCCTCTGCCTGTACAGTCAGCTGGAACCCCCTGCACGTGGGTTCGGCTGTCCCTGGGACACTGGTGCTGGGTCAGCCAGAGCTGGTGCCGGTGTGCCGACCATGGCGGTGGAGGGACCACGGGGTTGCACAGAGATGCTGCTTGTCCTGCCCTGCAGCTTGGGGCAGGGCTCGGCACAGTTTTGGGGGAGGGCTGCAAAACCAAGCTGGGGCTGCTGTGCCCTCCTCGCAGGGATGCTGCTGAGTCGGCTCTGATGGCTCTCCCTTTCCATGCCCCTCTTACGCAGGCGAGCAGGTCGTTGGGAAAAGATGCCCTTTGCAGAGGGGGCTGGTGACATCGCATCCAGCCTGCACGCAAGCCCTGCACGGACTTGCGCTGCACAGCCCCGCACCGCTGTGACTCTTCTGTCTGCCTTTAATCAAAGCCGGGTACCAAACATGGCCAGAGGCATCCCCAGGTGCAAAGGGGACCACCCTGGCCAGGGAACCCAGCCTGCCAAGCCATCCAGATGCCTGCCACGGTGGGTTTTTTGGGTGAAACGATGCTGCCCAGGGGATTTAGACACGGAGCTGCTCCCAGACGCATATTTAAATCCCCACACGCATCCAACATGCCTTTTTATCTTCTTTTCTGTTTGCTTTATAATTTAAGTGTATGACTGGTCAGGGCAGATCCAGGATGCCGGTGGGATCCTTTGTGAGTCACCTCGTGCAGATTTGGGGGTGGGCTCTGCCGTGCTTCGTGGGGTGCCCTGGGCCTGGCTGCTGGGACATATGTCCTTGCAAACACCGCCCCCGGGGTGCCCATGCAGGGGGATGCTGGCCCTGCAACCTGGTGGTGTCTGTGAAATATGTAAAAAGAAAAGCCATTGAATGTTATGGACCACAGTGTAACATATATGACATGTGCCTTTGGGGAGTTTATTGTTATTTTATTATTATTATTTTTAATAACAAGAATCTAATAAGTACCAACCACCTCCTTCTGTGTCTTCTTTGCCAGCACAGGCAGTTTGCATGTGGGCTGGAAAGGTGGGGGGCTTTGCCAGGGGGTTTCTCTCTCCCATCACCCCCAGCTCTGCAGGTCGGGGCTGTGATGACCCACAGGGTTTCACAAGCACTGGAGGAACTTCCCCACAGCTTTGTATCTGGATGTGAGGGGGCTCAGAGCGTGCCGTGGGGCCAGCTCTGAACACCCCCAGGTGAACCAGGGACCAATGGCTAATGGCCCATTGTGGCCCCCAGGCTTGGCTCTGCAGTTGTCCACCCTTCTGGGTACAATAGGGACAGCAGATCCCCAAAGAGCTCTTCCACCTCACCCAGGCCAAGTCACCAGCCCCCAACTGTCTTCTTTGTACTTGTTGGGCTCATCAGGCAAGTGGGGGGCTCTCCCCAAGCCCCCACCCACCTCCACTTCTCTGGCAGCTCAAGCATCTGGAGTTACCCAAACCTGGAGGACTTTGCAGCCACAGAGGTTAAATAGCTGGAAAAACTCTTCCACTTTCCCATCATGACTCTCCAAGAGCTCTAACTGAAAAAAACAGGAACATTAATGATATTACTTGCTGTTTATTTTATTTAGGTATTGTTTTTATATACTCATTAATGGCTTATGTAATTATTTCATTGCCGTTCATAACGTTAACATTTAAACAAAGCCACAGTTAAAAGAAAGAGCAATCGAGCCAAATTTCCAGTAGGCTTAACTGCTTTCAAAGCTAATTTGAGGGGGGAAAAAAAGGGATAATTAGCAGTCAAGCAAGCAATTGCCTTCCTGCCCGCACTGACGCAAGGGGAGGCTGGTTGGCGCAGCTCTGGTAGGCTGAAGCTGTGCTGGGGGACTTCCACGGCAGGGCTGTGGGGTGTGGGCTGAGGCCACCCCCTTGGTGGTGGGGAGTGCTTGTCACTGCGGGGTGCTGCCAGAGCCCGTGGGTGACACCGGGGCCGCAGGTGGGTGACTTGGGTGGCCGCAGGGGATGCTGCGCGGTCCTGGTGGCCACGGCTTCACAAGGACAAGAGATGCTGCAGAGCAAACCCGCCTTGCCAGAATGAAGGCATACGTTTTCCAAAACAGCTTTTCGAGGAAAAAAAAAAAATCAATTCAGTAAAGGATGGGAAAAGACTTCGGCACGCTCCAGCATGCTCCTGTTTCCTAGAGCGCAGATCTCACCCACCCCGTGCAGAAGCTGGCTGAGCTCAGGCGTGCGCTGAGAAACGCCGTGCCGGGACCAACTGCTCC